AGATTTCCCATTTTATTTTTCCTAGGATAAGAAGCTTCTGTTTTTACCTAATATCGCAAAAAAAAATCAAAAATGGGCCTGGAATAGTGCCTTTTTCGCCTAAAAGTTTATCGGTTTTTCGATATGTATAACAACTGTAGTGGGCTGACCTGCAAACAGGCGTCGGCAACAATCGCGAATGCGGCGCACATGTGACAATAAGCAAAGGTCATTATAGAGTTACGACGTACGGGAATGAGTTATCAGCTGTCTAATCGTAGACAACACAATGTCGAGCCTTAAACTGTAAGCCTGTATTGGTATTGTTTCTTTTATTTGGCTGTCGAACATTATTTATGGTTTGAAATATGCTTTTATGTAAAATAATTGATATGAAAAAGCCGTCTCTTAAGTTATGACCCCATTTCACCACACGCAAGTGGCAGAAATGACAATGATCAGCTGACGCATTTTTCTTGGCCGAAGTCAGAGCGCGCGGCCCGACGCACCACCACCGCACCACAAAGTATGAGCAGAAGCCGCGCCCAAAGCCAGGGCCCCGGTAACGTGAGGTAGCTGAGTCGGGGCAGCGTGCGCTGACCCAAGCCGGGGCCGCAGCTTTGGGCGCGGTCTACCGCATCTCCGCGGGCAGCCCCGGGCTATCACATGACACCGGGAGGACGCGCGGCCCCGGCTTGGGTCAGCGCACGCTGCCCCGACTCGGCTACCTCACGTTACCGGGGCCCTGGCTTTGGGCGCGGTCTACCGCACCACCTAACATGCGTGTTCGAAACCGCAGGAGATGATGATGAACGGGTTTATCGAAACTTGATTGGATGAGCATATCGGTAATAGCGATTTCAGTGTGTGCATTTATTGTTCATAGTGGTGTGAAATGTGGTTGGGGTACGACCGACAACCCGTCGGGGCGAATTTCGCACTGGGGTACTCAAAATTTGAAGCATGTAAGACGTTTCCATGAGTTTTGAAGGTATGGATAAGTTCTAAAAATCCGGTTCTCCTTATCTGGGCCATTAACTCCATACGGTCCAGGAAAGCTGGCACACTACCTTTAAACAAGCCACAAAGTATTAACAACAATGCGTTTCTGTTCACAGTTATTGTTCCGTTCCTTTCTACAATTCAAACTGTCTGTGTCTGTGAGAATCCCACTTCATGGGAACTCCTGTCAGTCAATCAATTCATACCGTTCCCAGTTCTCGCATCATTTCCAGATCTACCGGTGGACCAAGCAAAATTATTCCGAAGTTACTAGTGAGTGCAGCACTGGCGCCACAGTTCGGGGTCGTTTCTACAGAGTCGAGGTTAAAGAAACGTTCAGCTAACAATGCCCATTAAAAGCGCCCCCTAAAATAAGACAGGTACATTCATTTCAAAATTTCAAACGGTATTAAGTTAGGCGCATTTAGCCAGTCGCTGACGGGGGAATCCCATTTCAGACTTAAAGCGATAGCCTGCTCAAGTGCTCAAGAACTAATCATGAGCGCCCTAAAATTTAAAATTTTCGATAGCTTTTCTACATACATCTTGCATCGTTCAGGATTCATAAACAAAATGTTAAGACCAATTTTGTGAGTCACCAGTCGCCATTTGTGGCTGAAAGGTGACATAACCTATTCGCTCTCTCAAAGGAGTACAAACATAACTACTAGCATAAAATGTGATACTGATCAGCCTAAAAAGTCAGATTTGTTAGTTATAGCTAAAACATATACCACATACATACCTTGGCCAATAGTCCTACTCGGTCCGAGTCGCTCGGTGTTATATATGAGTCGCTGAGTCTCCGGCTATATTTGACCATGCCGCGTTCGATCCGGTTCGATCTACCGGACTGCACGGTGTGCCGCGGACCACGGTAGGCCCTCGCCACGGCAGGGGTGCCTCGGACCAAACAAGGAGCCGGGCACCGCTCAGGCGGCCCTGTGAGAGGCCGCTCTATGTCAGCCCGGTAATTAGATTGGTAACATGGCCGCCGACAGCCTAAGTGGCATGACGGGGCGCAGTGTTCGTTCGTGGCAGACGTAGCCAGACACGGAACGCAAGCCGAGCAATGGTGCGGTGCACTTATTGATAATTGCACAATTGCATGACTTTATTATTGATCATGCAATGGTTCCAAGTTCCAAATATGGAGGAATTGACGCAATTCGTTTCACCGATCGGTTTTCTCGTGGTGTTTTGCCCCTATAAGCTAAAATAAATACGATGCCATTTTTCCTGTATATCTAGCTCGTTAGAGAACAAAATGCCTAAGTATTTTCAAAACCGTAGCAGTGAGCACCGCCGGCCGGGCCGGTACCCACTGCTCGAATTACCTTCAACGAGTAACTCAGGTCCGGTCCAAATAGAAACACGCCACGCGGTAAGCTGCATTCGAAAGAACGCCAACATATCATGAGCACGAAGAAATAAAATCCGCTAATTTAACCCGCGCGGGGCTGGGGGGGGGGTAAATTTTACCCCCCCCCCCCTCGCGAATTTTTGCGATATCTCAAAAACGGCGGCGCGCAGCGCCGCCAAACTTTCAGTACCTTTTCTTACATCAATTTGACACCTTCCCTGAAAATTTGAGCGAAATCCGTCGGAAATTTTTTGAGAAATTGACGTTTTAGTGACGTCATGTTCGTCATTTTCGCCTCAAAAACGGCAAAAGTTCAAACGCCGCTAACATCTTCATTTTTAAAGGAATCAAGACGTAACAAAAAAGGTTATACGTAATTTTACTTTGTCTATCAAATGGCTATCTCGGTTTTTTGAAAATTTTGGATTTTAGCCTAAATTTTTTCAAAAAACTGACTTATTTGGGAAAATCATTATAAAATCCAAAATTTTGAGTCTATCGAAAAAACCGGAATATATGTCAGAGAAGTGGTCTATGTGCACCTACATACCAATTTTTAGAAGAAGCGGTTCAAAAATGTGGGAGTTATTCAAAAGTTTATGACGTCACGACACACAAAATTTTTGAAAAATGACTTTTTTGGAAGTTCTAGACCTCGTACGGAAACAAAAATAGCACCATTCGATTCGCCGTGAAAAACTGCATCAGATAGAGACCTTTTTAGGCCTTTACAACCAACTTCAAAATTTGACCTCACTTGACCTGACCTTGACCTGACCTCGACCTGAAATTCATCCAGAGGTGGTCCATATCACTTATTGAGTGTGCCTATTGAATTTTATGAGTAAAATGACCCATAAAACATGTGTCGCACATGCCCTTTTCTATATTTTGTTTTTTGGTGACCTGACCTGACCTGACCTGACCTTGACCTTGACCGCTGAATGATATTGTATGCAACGAATATTGTCTTGGTAGCCTAAGAACACGTTTTGGGCGATCAGTCTCAGTCCATGACTCCATTCTTCGGCAACTACGGTGCAAGGCCGATACTGTAGAAACTTGCAATTTGTACCCTTGACCTGACCTTGACCTTGACCTCAAACTTTAAATTAAGTACATGTTTTTAGTAGTTCGTGATGAGAGCTTTCGATTGGCGTTTGAATTTTCCAAATCGGACCGTTAGTTCGGGAGATAACAGGGGGGGTAAAATTTACCCCCCCCCCAGCCCCGCGCGTTCGGCTGGAGACCCCAGCCCCGCGCGGGTTAAAGGTCAGGTCAAAGGTCAGAGCACCACAGGCCACCTAAGGTCAAAAGTTGCCTATTTCAATACCTACTATTTGTCAAATCGGCACATTTAACCAATAAAACTACGGCGCCCCAGAAAAGCGCATTCGATGGCCCTTTCAAAGTTTATGCTAAATGCTGTTATCAGTTTTGTCCTAGTTACCGATAAAATCTACTGAGGGGAAAACTGTCAAATTAACGTTTTGGCGGAAAAGTTTTCTGCAATTGCTTTGACTCTTTAACACGGACAGTTATTCTACTAATAGCATCATGTGTTTCCCGTCGAGACGCGTGAAATTAACCATAACTTGACCTCATAAAAGTGACCCGGTCGGGCCATTTCTCTTACCCGAGGCTAAATTTTCAAGTCGAACTTTCGGCGCGTCTCGACGAGAGGAACAAAATGCCGACAAAAGTTATGTCGCAGCTCTCTTGAATCAAGTTTTGAACATTTTTTTTTGTGAAAACTGCTATTTTCAGTTTTTGCCCTCTGGAGACTAAACAATTGACCTGAGGTCATATGTATGGACAAATTCCTAGGTTTTAAGGGCTATAGAGTGCACTTTTCCGTTTTCACTGTGTTCACCGTGCTATATTGGGTCCCGTGCATGGTATGTGCTGCTGTTTCAAAAAAAAAAATGTTGAAATAGGCAACATTTTACCTTCGATGACCTCTGGTGACCTGACCTAAAAATGAACGAAGAATCGAACGCCGCTTACCGCGTATAGCTATGTGGCCCGGGAGCCGAGCTAGAGGGGGAGGGGTGTTAAAACACCCCTCCCCAGCAGGGCGTGGAAATCCAGGACCCCAGCGGGCCGCAGCGTCACTGAGTGCCAACCGGATAATTCACGGTAAGCGGTGTTTGAGCTCAATTCCTCTCGCTCGATTGATTTCGCCACAAAATAGAAACGTTCACTAGATGCTGAACCATTTTTTGAGTAGACTATCTCATAACCATCCAACAGTCTAACCGGCCCCATTCAATCAGGTAAGATGAGTTAGAATCTGCAATACTCTATAATTCTCAAAGTACTCGCGTTCTCCCATACCGTTTTAATCATTCGCGCCGCATAGGCTGTGAGTGATAATGTGGCCGTGTTCTCGTGCCCCTGAGCAGCCCTGCCGCTCACCAATCAGTTCGTGTTAGACGTCCTAGCTACTATAGTTACCAGCTCACCAATCAGTTCGTGTTAGACGTCCTAGCTAATATACCAGTCCCCGGACTGCCCGTAGTCACACGAACTTGCACCAAGTGCAGTGTTCACGCTCATGATGCCGATGTTCTTAGCCACTCGGGTGCCCACTCGACCGTCAGCTGTGTTCAGTGTTCAGAGCTGATAGGCACCGCATCCCGGTATTACAACAAAATACATCTTAAAATAATTTATATTCTCGTCGTAGTCGTAGCAAGAACGAAACGGGAACAGTACATAATCAATGCTCCTCGTACCTGGCACGAGTTAAATCATCCGGGAATGTGCAAGACACGAAGGGCATGGATGAATGACTTGGCCGCCGCCGCCGCCGGTGGTCACCAGCCCAGCCATCGGGAGGGCCGGGGACCACCACAGCAGCGAGGACACGCCCGCCTCTACCGACCGTGACGTCACACGGCTCGCCGAGACGGCCGGCCCGGGCTCAGCGAGACAAAAACAGAAAGCAACTGAAGGACAGGTGAGTTTAGGCCTCGAGCTCCTCTCCCTCCTCCTCGTCGAACTCTGCCTCGTCGTCGGCGGTGGCCTCCTGGTACTGCTGGTACTCGGACACCAGGTCGTTCATGTTGCTCTCGGCCTCTGTGAACTCCATCTCGTCCATGCCCTCGCCGGTGTACCAGTGGAGGAAAGCCTTGCGCCGGAACATAGCGGTGAACTGCTCAGAGATACGCTTGAAGAGCTCCTGGATGGCGGTGCTGTTACCAATGAAGGTGGCAGACATCTTGAGGCCGCGGGGCGGGATGTCGCACACGGCAACCTTGACGTTGTTCGGGATCCATTCGACAAAGTAGCTGCTGTTCTTGTTCTGGATGTTGAGCATCTGCTCGTCGACCTCCTTCATGGACATGCGTCCTCGGAACACAGCGGCCACCGTCAGGTAGCGACCGTGCCGGGGATCACAGGCGGCCATCATGTTCTTGGCGTCGAACATCTGCTGGGTGAGCTCGGGCACGGTCAGCGCCCTGTACTGCTGGCTGCCGCGAGAGGTGAGGGGCGCGAAACCGGGCATGAAGAAGTGAAGACGGGGGAAGGGCACCATGTTGACGGCCAGTTTCCTGAGATCAGCGTTCAGCTGACCAGGGAACCGGAGGCAGGTGGTGACACCAGACATACACAGAGAAACAAGATGGTTGAGATCACCGTATGTGGGGTTGGCAAGCTTGAGGGTACGGAAACAGATATCATACAACGCCTCGTTGTCTATGCAGTAGGTCTCGTCTGTGTTTTCGACCAGCTGGTGAACGGAGAGGGTGGCGTTGTACGGCTCGACGACGGTGTCAGACACCTTAGGCGAGGGCACGACAGAGTAAGTGTTCATGATCCTGTCTGGGTACTCTTCCCGGATCTTAGAGATGAGGAGGGTTCCCATGCCGGAGCCGGTGCCGCCTCCAAGCGAGTGTGTCAGCTGGAAGCCCTGCAGGCAGTCGCAGCTCTCGGCCTCCTTGCGGACCACATCGAGGACGCTGTCCACCAGCTCGGCGCCCTCTGTGTAGTGACCCTTGGCCCAGTTGTTGCCGGCGCCAGACTGACCTGTGAAGCGGAGCAAAAACAAGTCAGTGAAACGGCACAAACAGCAAGACGGAAACCAGCGTAACAGCCGTTATCTGTCAGCCGCAATGAAAACGCCGAACTTTTACAATTGTTATCAGAAGCCAGGGGCACCATGCCAGCGCACAAACTCACCGAAGACGAAGTTGTCGGGCCGGAAGATCTGGCCGAAGGGACCGGACCTCACGGAGTCCATGGTGCCCGGCTCCAGGTCGACTAGCACGGCGCGCGGCACATATTTGCCGCCGCTGGCCTCGTTGTAGTATACGTTGATGCGCTCCAGCTGCAGTTCCGAGTCGCCATGGTAGGTGCCAGTCGGGTCGATGCCGTGCTCATCAGAAATGATCTCCCAGAACTGCCGGACAGGGGGCCACAGGTCAACACTCAGCTCCCAGGACCGGGGTCACAGGTCAGCAGTCACCTCTGCTCGCAGAACTGTTTACGAGCCACGAGTCAAGTGGGCGACTCACGGCAAACGACTACAGATTGTGGCACATGCCGGTATCGTTATAAGCCCCTGTGATGGTGCACATTTCGCCTGGAGTGGCATACGAGCCTGCCGGGGCGTTGGCTGTCGAGTTGGTCTCTCACAGCAGTCAGTGACCGCAGCTGGCGAGTAACTCTGCCGTCACGGACGACCAACTCTCTTTCCTTCACCGCCGGCGGCTGGCCGTGAGCCAAACACGCCAGCCGGCCGGGAGACCAGGGAGGGAGGGAGGGAGCCAGCTGACTGCGGCCACGCGGCGCCGACCGCCGAGACGGTCCGTCGCGCCGGAAATGCGCGGTCAGAGACCGGCGGACGCACGCGGCGCCGACGGCCCGTGACCGGCGCCACGCCGCTGCGGACGAGGCAGCGCGGCGGCCAGCCACACCACTGGCCGTACCAGCGACCTCAGGGAGCAAGCCAAATCTGGGATAAACCGTGAGAAAATTGGCGTAAACGAGACCAAAAATTCCGCGGCGAGACCCCTTAGTACCACCGACAATAGACTTTGGGAATTGAGCAAAGCTGTTTTGACTAAATTAAACAGTGACTGACGGTTACCAACCAGTTGATAGTAAATGGTCAAACTAAATGTCATTTTGAATTAAATGTTCCTCGAAATTGTGACTAAACGAATGAACTTTCAGACGACATAGCTCAAAATATTAGTTTTTTTTTTGGGTCAAGGGCGCCCAAGCGTGGACAGCAATATAATTAAGCTTTTAATGAAAATTAAATAATGACTAATACAAACGCTCGTTACTCGCAGTTACTTTATAACGCATACTCGCCTTCAAAACGGATCGAAATGCTTCCCATTACCCAGACATTTTGCTAAAGCCATTTAGCAATGGTTTGTGCGATTTACCTTTCGATTTAACAGGACAGGCTTTATAAATAACTTAGTGTTAGATGACAATACGCTGCGCAAATACGCAACTGAAGTCAGCATTCGTCCTATAGAAACAATTTTTTTTAAAAACAAATTTAGTCTTAACTTTTAGAATGGAAAGAATCACAAGCTCTGTATAAATCTCTCGGGTTCTCCACTAACAGAATATCATTTTAGGACACAATTTAGGAGACGTCTCATGACATGCAGACGGCATAACAATATGAAACAGCCCCCCACGGAATCCGTTCGGGCCGGCAGCGGCGCCCATGTCGCCAGGGCGAAGGTCGGGGTCGGCGGCCGACCGGGGGTCTGGGGAGGGGCGCGGCCGGTCGGCCGATAGTCGATACCGGGGCGGCGGCCACGCCGTCGGCCAGCCGGCTGCCGGGACAGCCGCCAGTTTTTTATAGACAGACCCAGCGCAGTCCGAGCCGCACCAACTCCAGCGGACCAGCCGCGCCAGCCTACCGTCCACGGCGCCGGCCGGTTCTCGCCAGTCATTTCCCCTCCCCTTTACCCCAGCCGGTCACGTGATCCAGAGCGCGCGCACTCTGCCGCCGCGAGGAGGCACGCAGCCGGCCGGACAAAGAATTCAAAAACGCGCGGCAAAGGGACAACGGCAGCGCGCGCGCCGCCGCCGGGCGCCCCCCGCCGCGGGGCAGAACCCACATGTGGCCGGCGAGTCCACAGTCCACACAGGCACGGGGGAGGTTACTTGGGGCGGCGCGGACGTGATCCGTGCCGTGGGAAAGCTACCGGTTCGGTGCCGGCCGGCGGGGATGTCTGAACCAAACCGTCATATTTTGGTACAACGCTGTGAGAAACCGATGCCACTTTGCAACCCTTCGAATGAACTGCCGACAACTGGCCCGACACGATACAAAAATGAAATGTGTTCAGAAGAGTTGTCATATCCGGCACGGAAAATATCCAAATGTACCACATAACTGAACTGAACCGGACCAATAAAAAACTGCAACATATCTAATCGTTAAATAAAAAGCGAACTGATGATCGATCGAACTGATAAATGCTTGATAACGAGACGTCGGTTACAGACGCGAGTGGCTATTCGTCCATACAGATCGAAAAAACATGAACTAGAGCCCACGGTTACCACTGCCACAAATATCACACTCCTCACCTTTGATCCGATCTGGTTGCCGCACTGGCCAGCCTGGAGGTGCACAATCTCGCGCATTTTGTACTGTGATCTGGGGACCCTCACAACCGTACCGGCGACTCGTCAGCGACTGCGGGCCGCCGCGCGCGCGGGGCCCTCGGGTCGGCTCAGCGGAGCACCAGCCGACGCCCAGCGCCGGGAGCCAATCAGAGCGCGCGTAACAAACGCCGGCCACCGCCCAGCAACGGCTGGAGCGGCGCGGCGGGCGCCGCGCCGGCCGGGTGAGCTGGCGGTGAGACACTTTCTCACCGGGTGAGCGGGTGCCGGGGGCGGCCTACATGTCAGATGGCCCATGTCAGTGCATGTCAGATGGCCCGGGTGGCGCAATGCAGCCCTCTCCGGCCGAGCTCTCCTGGCTCTCTGGCTAATCGCCGGCCGGCCGACAGCCGCTGATTAGCCTGCTCAGGAGAGCGGCCGGCGGCGCCTCCCGCCTGCGTGGAAGGAATTTGAAGTTTTGAACGTTGCGCCACGCAGCGGGCTTTGGCGCGCGGTGGCCCGGGCGCGGGAAATAGTCTGGCGCCGACCTGTCCGTGAGGTGAGGGGCTAGTCGCCTCGACAGGGCGGACATCTGCGCGCGGGGGGGGGGGTCCAGGGGCGGATCCAGGAAAACTCCAAGGGGAGGGTCATGAATCGAAGTGGTGCCCCTACCTATACCCAAAATTAAAAACTCAACGGATTTCGTCCACTTAATTTTGGTGGTGCCCCCATTTTCATTTTTTTTTTATTTTTTTATTTTTAGTCAGTATCTTAACTCTTACCCACAACCACATTTACCAATTGTAAGCAAGTATATATGAATGTGTTATGTGTATATATGTTGTGGACGCTGAGTAGTGAGTACTTACCAGGAACGTTATCAGGTAAGCGAATCGTTGTCAGTCCGACGAACTTGACCCTGGCGTCTAAAGGGTCTGTCCTTGACACTTCAGGCTTGTCAGGGGCACCAAAGTCCTTCCAGGGACACCACAAACCTGTCAGGGGCACCTACGGCCTTGTAGGGGCGCCACAGGCCCGCCAGGAAGCAGGGGCACCACACGCCTGCCAGGAAGCAGGGGCACCACAGGTCTAGCAAGTATACACGACAGGCCTGTCGGGAGCACAACGGGCCTGTTGGGCCCATGAGCACCCCTAGGGGCAGGGGCACCACAGTCCTTCCAGGGGCACCGCAGGCCTGTGAGGGGCACCAGCGGCCTAGCAGGGGCACCAGTCAACACAGGCCTGCCAGGGGGGCACCACAGACCTGCCAGGGCACCAGAGGCCTGTCAGGAGCACCACCGACCTCGCAGAGGTAACTTGGGCCTGTCAGGGGCACCACGGGCCTGTCGAGAGGCACTTCAGGCTTTTCAGGGGCACCATAGTCCTCTCCGGGCGCAGGGGTAGCAGGGGCACCAGAGGCCTGCCAGGGGCACTACAGGCCTAGCAAGGGCACCACTGTTCTATCAGGGGCACCACGAGCCTGTCATAGCCAGGCATCTCAGGCTTGTCAAGGCCCAGGGGCACCACAGGTGTGCGAGGGGCACCAGCGACCTAGCTGGGGCACCAGTCAACACAGGTCTGCCAGGGGCGCCACAGACCTGCCAGGGGCACCACAGACCTGCCAGGGGCACCAGAGGCCTGCCAGGGGCACCAGAGGCCTGCCAGGGGCACCACAGGCCTAACAAGGGCACCACGGGCCTGTCAGGGGCACCTCAGGCTTGTCAGGGCCCAGGGACACCACAGTCCTTCCAAGGGCACCGCAAGCCTGTCAGGGGCACCAGAGGCCTGCCAGGGGCACCACAGTCCTTCCAGGGGCATTACAAGCCTGTCAGGGGCACCAGAGGCCTAGCAAGGGCACCACAGGCCTGCCATGGACACCACAGGCCTGCCAGGGGCACCACCGGCCTTGCAGGGGCGCCTCAGGCCTGTCAGGGGCACCACGTGCCTGCCGGGGACACTTCAGGCTTGTCAGGGGCGTTACAGTCCTGTCAGGGCCCAGGGGCACCAGGCCCGTGGTGTCCCTGCTAGGCCTGTGGTGCCCCTGGCGGTCCTGTGGTGCCCCTGTCAGGACTGTGATACCCCTGATAGGCCGGTGGTACCCCTGGCAGGTCTTTGGGCCCCCGGGCCTCAAGGGGGGGGGCCATGACCCATGTGACCCCCCCCTTGGATCCGCCCCTGGGGGGGTCAGCGCCCAGCGCACGGGTGGACCGCACAAGACCAGCAGCTGCTGACAAACATCACTGGCCCAGCAGTGTCAGCGAGCAGCAGCTACTGTCGGCATACTGCCGAGTGCAGCTGACAGTACATACCGGTGACCCAACCGGCCATCACTACTGGAGAGATAGCGCTTTTCACTGTTCAGTGACAGTCACCCTGTCGAGTCGAATGTTGGACGGCGGTCTAGCAGTCCGTGCCGACAGCGGACCTCCGCTCCTCCCCGTCGCTCCTCTGACCGGTCACGCCGGACCATGAGCCCGGCCAAGCGTCTGCCGGTGCCCCGCCGCGCCCTGGGCCGGCCGCGCGTCTGCTGTTTGTAGGACGTGGGTGAACTGGGAGTGCCGCACGTGGGGCAGGTCAGCTCAGCAGCAGGGGCACAGGGCACGCCTACCAACCACGAGTGGTATGCTGACGCGGCAGTTCGCGACCCGCTGCTGACCACCTGAACGGCATGCAGCCAGACAGAGACCGGTCTGCATGATGATCAGAAGGTACTCAATGGAAACCTGTCTGACCGCCGCATAGCTACACGTTCGAGGCTTGGACAGGGATAGGCAATGCTGACATGCTCAGTGGTAGTCGATCAGTTTGCCACTCGAACACTGCATAAACAAACTTTGTAATTAATCAGGTATGAGGTAGTGTAGTGTTCTCCATTTGCTGGCATGAGTAACAGGAGGTACCAAACACGAGACCTTGTTAGATTATCAATGTCATTGAGTTGCATATGATATGTTGGATTAGGTATATGTGGGATTATAATAAGGACGAATAGCAAAAATAGGTAGGAAACCCTTTTACGTTCGCTGTTCGATGAAACATCAGCGAGAAATCATACCTACATTTGATCTTTTTGGCACGGTGTAGAGGAATTTCAATCAGCTACAAGGGTGTTATGAATTTTTACGTTCAATTCCGCTTGGTTATTCCAATAGTTGTGTTATTCCCTTCTAAAAAAAACCATGTAGCGACTTTTGAGCGTTTAAAATCATTCAGCATTCACCAGTGATAATATTTAGGAAAACATCTGTCGAGTGGTGTGCAGAAGGAACTCAAATTCGTTAAGGAATTAAAGCATTTTCATTGTTGGCACTTATCACCAGGGCTGCGGAGTCGGAGTCGGAGTCGGATTCGGAGTCGGTCGGAGTCGACAGTTGTGACCGGAGTCGGAGTCGGAGTCGGAGTCGATTTTAGAAACCCGAGCCGGAGTCGGAGTCGGAGTCACCGAAAATCTGTCGACTCCGCAGCCCTGCTAGGTCTGCGGAGTCGGAGTCGGGAGTTGGAGTCGGTCGGAGTCGACAATTCTGCCCGGAGTCGGAGTCGGAGTCGGAGCTGGTTTTTGAAAGCCGGAGTGGGAGTCGGAGTCGGAGTCGCCGAAAATCCATCGACTCCGCAGCCCTGCTTATCACTCTTAAAACGAATCATTATCCTACCAAAACGTGTCCAGCATGTGATGTCAGATGCCTATTAAAAATTATCTTACTTTGAATTGTGACCGGTGAGAGTGGAAAGGGTCCCTGAATTATGTTGGCATTTATTCGGGCTTCTTTGTAATATGTTTTGATATACCCTATGCTTATTGCAATTGGGAGAAATCATGCAATTGAGCTGGACAATTTCGTACTAACTCGGTATAAGGCCAGCAGTGTAAGCACCATTCTTAGGATGGTCTTCGACCCTAAGGTTCTTAAATCCTTCGGCAACAATAAAGCTTCCAAAGTTCTTGAGTATACTGCTTAAAAATATAAAATTTGTTGAAACCGTTTCTCATAAGGGTCTCTCCGGAATACATTAGCAAAAATCAAAGGTAGAACAAGGACAAGTTTTACAACAGTGCGTATAGTTCCAAATTCGACATTTGTTCGCGTTATGTCATAAATTTGTCATCCTTGGCTGCACTTTTATAGTCACCGTGGCTGCACCATGGGTACTGACGAACGTGCGTCACTGTTGGTGACTCCCTGTGCCGGCTGGTTGCCATAGCAACGCCAGTTTTATCTGGCTGCTCAGGGGGCAATGTCGATGGTAACCATAGAGACACCGATAAAGCCGAGCCGCCGGCCGGCCCCCTGGCCGCGGCACACGCCCCCGTCTCGTTACCCGTGCTGCTCTCATCACGCGACACAGGGGGAGATGGCACGGGTACCGCGGCAGCTGCCATCGGCACGGCACGGCCGTGCCAGGGTACCGGAGGGCATCCGTCACACGTACAGACGATTATTTCGCTATGCCGTGCAGATACCGTGAGCCAGAATATAACAGATGTCGAATTTCCATGCAGCCCAGTGACATACTATTCGTTCATTTATCTTTTTAGGTATTCTTGTGTTCTGGACCTAATTTGATGCGGATATTTTCGTTCTCTGATGATTATCGAAGTTCAAATGCCATCGTTCGGCCCTTGCACTCGATTGAACGTTTTTCTTCAAGTCGAGAAAAGAAGGAGAAGTAAAAAAAGTTTCCCGTATGTCTTATGGCAGAACTTCTCACATCAGATGCGGATAATTTTTGTGACGAAACATCAGATAAAGCTGACTATTATTTTTTCACATTTTTGTTTCCGTATTAGGTATTTATGTGTAGGAGAGGACTTTTCGAAAACATCTGGGGATGTGCGGGTTGGAACATCCTCACCACCCCTTATTTTAGTGATCCTGGGTAAGTTTGGTTGGCTGGAAACGTTTTCGTCCAGCGTGATTATGATAATTATTGTAATAAGAATGAATAATAACCTTTTCCTCATAACTCAATAGGTAGGTACACTTCTTTAGTATTTCTTTAGTTACAACTATTATATTTGATAAAGTTACCTAACATTAGTTATAGACATTTTATTGTTATGGACTCTGACTTATCATGTAATTAGATGCAGCCTATAATTTTCCAAGTGAAGTTCCCAAATCGGCATCATACTAATCAATCAAATACGATGAACGTGGTACAATTGAAAACAAAAGGGTGCATAATCGGAACGTAAAAGCCAACTTCTAGTCAGCATATTATTCACTGCGGGTGATTCGGCCAGTGAGATGACGCTCCGTTCTACACCCCATTTCCCCTCTGAGTGCACGGCTAGTCGGCTACCCAATGCCCATGGCGAGTGGCCTGGACCGTGGTGCCGTCCTCCATCCCCTCCCCCTCCCCTCCCTGACGTTTCCCAGCC